TGTGGCCACTGGACTTCTCGGCCGTTGTCTTAGAGGCAGGTGAGTAGGGCTGGGAGCTTCTGAGCTCCGCATCTCCCTCAGCCTGCTGCTGTGAAGCCAGAGCTCCATGGCCGTGTCTCTGAAAGCAGTTCTCCTGAACAAGGACTTCTTTTTATGCCTGCTGCCTCTCAGGGTAACTGGCTTGGAAGTCTTCGATGACAATTATTCGCATTCATTCTTCTAAACCCCTTTTCTGGGCGAGGATTCGCTGACTCCTGTGTCTTTCCCCAGAGCATGAGGCTCCGGTGAGTTCTGTCCGAATCAGCTCAGACAACCACAAAGTCTTATGCACGACGTGCACAGGGAATCTGGGCTACCTCGATATCCAGTCTCGGGACTATAACACCCTCATGCGCTCTCACGAGGACTCCGTTTTGGCCTTCTCAGTGGAGGGGACTTGGAAACAGATGGCAACAGTGTCTCAGGACAATACCATCCGAGTGTGGGACCTCGTCTCCATGCAGCAGGTAGGCGAGACAAGAGTCAGTAGGTGTTGGTAGGCTTTATCTAAATGCCCAAAGACCTCGAACTTCACTGGGCTTTAGATCCATCCAGGCAAAATCAGGTTTCTCCTGTCACGGTGGAGGTTCTGACGCTGTTTTGTTGCCAGGTACGGCTGCCAGGTAGAACTTTATCCAGCTTCTCTTCCCCGCAGCTGTACGACTTCACAGCCGCAGATGAAATGCCCTGTGCTGTGGCCTTTCACCCTACCCAGCACATCCTGGCCTGTGGCTTTGACAGTGGGATGGTGCGGACATTCTCCTTGGCTGCTTCCGATCTCCTGGTGGAGCACAAGTAAGCACTTGCAGTGGGAGATGCAGCAGGACAGGTATGGGTTTAATTGGGTGTCCTGGCAGAAGCCACAGTGGTAATTGCTGGGAAGAGTGGTTTTTTTGAGCTTGACAATCCTCATGTCCCAGCTGAATGGTTTTCAGGCAGAGGTAGCCTGCTGTGCCGAGGCGCTGGGTGGTAAAAGTCCAACCGGCAAAGGCTGTGAGGGCATTTTGTATGACTTTGCGGTGGACAGTTGGCCAATGGTAGGAAAGAGCTTGTCCTAGAGAGCAGCTGAGCTCTTGTGAGCTTTGGCATGGGAAGTGGAGGATGCTCCAAAAGGAGCACGTCCCACCCAGGGGCAGCTGGATTGCTGCGCTTGCTCCTTGCTTTTCCAAAAAGCTGGAGTGTTGGATGTCCTGGGCTGCTGCAGGTGTGAGTATGGGGGGTTCCTCTGCCTGTCCCTGCTTACTTTGTTCTTGGTTCTTGACCATGTTGCACTTAGCATTGCTACTCTTTCCTGGGGGTTGATTTATTTGTTTTTCCTCCTCCCCTTTTTTCATGTTTTCTGCCTTCTTTCAGGCAGCACCGCACTGCAATCACTGGACTGACCTTCTCCCCAGATGGCATTTTCATGTTCAGCTCCTGTTTGCAGGGAACTCTGGCTCTTTACACCTGTACAGAGCAATCGAGCCATGTCCTGAGAGTCCTGGGTAAGACTTTGGGGTTGTGGGTTGCCTTTTTTATTTTATTTTTTTTTTTTTTCTTTATTAGCCTAGACATCCTAGCTCCAAAGCCAAACCAGACTCAGCCTGCTTGGGGAGATATTTTTCTGACGACCCTTCTGAGCTGTCTTATTTGTGTTTATACCATGTGTGAGCAAAGCCTAGGGACTGCCAACCTTTCCCTCCCCGTCCTGGTTGAAACACTCTCAGCTTGCTCGGTGTCTTGATTTCCTGATTGGGCTGGAGTCCCCTGCCCTTTCAGGTCTGGGTTCAGCGGAGCCGCTCTAGTGAGCAGAAGATGTGGGGAGCTGCAAGCAGGGGCAAGACAGTGGGGAAGGTCACGTTGAATGTATGCTTTTGAAAGGAGCTGTGGCAGCAGGGAAAGGGAGCTCTCTGTTAAGGCGATACTGTACAAAGAGGAGGGTCCTGCCCCAAGAAGCATGTAGTTGAAATAGTGGAGGAAAAATAGAGGTTTGGAGAGATCGAGGAGTTAGTCTAAAATTATCCAAGTTTGGTGTCGGTGCTGCAGCTGGAGCTTCATGTGTTCACTTTGCCTGGTTGTGTTACAGGGACAGAACAGTGAAATTTTTGGTAGTGGAATAAATATAGAGAATTGCTGTGATTTCTGCAGTTTTTAATTAGTAATTTTTTAGACCTTTGGATCTGTCTGCCCACTGGACTGACATCAGTGTGGTGTGGTTCAGCACTGACTTCATGCTGCACAGGGTTCAGGCACCCAGATGCTGCCGAGGTCTCGCATTCATAGCTCCTTGTTGCAGCCGCTTGTAATGTTAAAAAATAAACAGTAAAATCAATTTTATTCCCTTGACTTTGTTCTGCTCTCTTTGAAAACATCACACATTTAGTTGGGCAACAAGCTGTGTGTCTAAACCTTGCCTTTGAGGTAGTTCACTGCAAGCTTTGGGTGTTGCAGATAAAATTTATAGCATCTTCTACAACAGAGGTTGCTTCTTCCTCAGGCCAGAACGTTAACCCAAGGGTGATTTGGAGGCAGGAGAAGCCACAACTACTGGTCAGCAGTACCATCAGAGAGTAAGCTTGGCCACAGCGTGGGCTTTGCTCCTCTCTTCACTCTCTCTCTTCTGTGGCCCTCAGGCAACGTGGTGGCCCGGGATGCTGGGAACGGTCCGGACGCTTTGGTGGTCAGCGGGGACAGTCGTCTCTTGGCCTTCGTGGGTCCCTCCAAGTACGTTGTGACCGTGATGGAGGCCTGCTCTCTAGATGAGGTACCCAGCGGGCTCCTCTCGTTGCTGGGGGAGGTTGGAGAGGAGAACATGTGCCACAGGGTGCCAAGGGCTAGAGGGGAAAATCCCATAGGCTGCATCAGGTGAAATATATTGTTGGAGCAAGTCCAGAGAAGGCCACAAAGCTGACCAGAGGGCTGGAGCTCCTCTCCTATGAGGACATGCTGGGACAATTCAGCTTGGAGAAGAGAAAGCTCTGGGGAGACCTTGTAGCACCTTCTAGTGCTTAAAGGGGGCTACAGGAAAGCTGGGGAGGGATTCTTCATCAGGGAGCATAGTGATAGGTAATGGCTTCAAACTGAACGAGGGCAGATTTAGATATTAGAAAGAAATTCTTCACTGTGAGGGTGGTGAGACACTGGCACAGGTGGCCCAGAGAAGCTGTGGAAGCCCCTTCCCTGGAAATGTTCCAGGCCAGATTGGACGGGGCTTGGAGCAACCTGGTCAGGTGGGAGGTGTCCCTGCCCATGGCAGGGGGGTGGAACTGGATGATCTACAAGGTCCCTTCCAATGCAAACCATTACATGGTTCTAAGGGCCTTGGGCACCAGTGTTAGAGAAGGCCCTTCCCTGCCCAGCAGACACTTGCTTATGGTGTTTACAATGAGGATTGTTTTCCATTCTGTGAGATACAAACAACAAAGTCAAGGTTTCGTCTCCAGCCTCATTCTCATCTAGAAGGATAGTTTGGGGAGGTGATGTGCAAACTGTCAGCTCTGATCTCTTTTTCTGAGCTGCTCTCCTGGACAGCAGGGACATTGCCTGGACCCTGCAGTCCCCCATTAAGTGAGAAGGGAAGAAAATGGTCTGGGGGAATCCATAACCTCCTTTTAGGAGAGCCGCAAGAGCAATCCTGAGGCTTCTGCTCCAGGGTGTTTGTTCAGTAGCTCCTTGTTTCACAGCTGCTGAGAGTGGACATCAGCGCCCTTGGTTTGACCAGCACAGCCTTGGACTCTGCGGTGAGAGTCTGCTTTGCTTCTGTGCCTCGAGGCGAGCTCTTAGTGTCCACTTCTTCCAATAAAATCCTTGTGCTTGATGCAAAAACGGGACGACTGGTGCGAGAGGTAGGACACTGTGAAATTCATGCACTGAGATCTCATGTTGTGTGGGGCTTGGGCACTTCGTATCACTCTTACTGAAGCATAAGTAAGGGCATGAACTAGCTCAGTGAATGCTGCTGGTGCTGCTTCTCGTCCTCAGGTATCTCCTGTGCACAAGGTGTCCTGCTCCTCTGTGGCGCTGAGCAAGGATGGCAGGTACCTGCTCACTGCTGGCGACAAAGTCATCAAAGTGTGGGACTATCGGATGCGCTTTGATATCAACTTCCAGGTACTTCCCATACAGGGAGGGAAGGGGGTTACTGTTGAACTCCTGAATAAGAGAGCACCAAATGCCCTCCGTGCAACTTGGCCCAGTGTCCCCAGGCCCAGTTAGCCCAGCAGCTGAGGAATGCAGCCCTGTCCCACACCGAGCATGGGCTGGGGCTGTCAAAGCACCCTCTGTGAAGGACAGAGGTAGTTGTTACCTCTTCCCTACAGACAGAGCCACCCAGAGAAGAATGTGACTCTCCAGGGTTTCAGAGGTATTGAGAGCTAGAACAAGACCTTGGGGTATTTCAGCTTCTGCTTGCTTATCCAGATCAGTGTGTTGAAGGTCAACCCTAGGTTGACCGACCTGAGGCTTGAGCACTCTAGGTGTGGTGCAGGCCACTGAGAGGATCTTCTGCTGAGGCATGGAGACAGTGGCTGTGCAGGGAGTGGAGTAACCACGATCCTGGATAGACCAGGCATGGTGATGGAGAAGTTCAAGGCGTGCTCTTCCCCAGGTGTACATCGGCCACTCGGAGCTGGTGCGCCAGGTGGCCTTCACCCCGGACCAACGGCACGTCATCAGCGTTGGAGATGCCATCTTCCTCTGGGATTTCCTGGCTCTGCCTGCGGAGAGATCACCCCCAGCCAGGTGAGTGCACGATGCTGGGGATAGTGCCTTCCCCTGCTTCTTGTTACCTCCCCTGCCCTGTCTCCACTCGGTGTAACACCAGTCTTCTTGCCTTTCCAGAGGTCAGTCCTTCAAGTCCGCTCTGTCACCAGGAGCAGGTGAGTGCCTCCTACCATGAGCTGTGCTGCCCAGCAGATTGGCAGCTCTTCCATCTCTTTCACGTTTTGTCTTCTGCTTTTCCATGCCTCCATCTCTCCTGCCTTCTTTTTCCCCGTCCTCACTGTCCCTCTCTCTGTGTCTGTCCCCCCCCTTTCTTGAAGGACAGAAGAGAAGTGGCTTCTCCTTTGTGGGAGGAAGCTGGAGAAATGAGCTGGGAGGTATCCCCATTGGTCAGCTCAGGAGGATGAGAGGATCTAAGGGATGGAGGAAGTTACACAAACCCTCTTCTTTTCACAGAAGGGAGCTCTGAGAAGCTAAAGGATGTCTCTGAGACACCTCGGCAGACAGTGCCTCTTCCATTTTTGTCCTCGCCACCGTGTTTGGATGTTAGCTCCGTCCACCAAGCGGGATGTCAAAGTAAGAGGAACTGCTTGCAGGAAAGGAGAAAATTAACCTTATTTTAGGAAAAACTCCTTGCCTAGTTCAGTAGCATGCTTGGAGCTGTCCCTGCTTGTGATCCTCTTCCTGCAGATTGACAGAGCAATCTGTGCTTTCTTGCCCCTCCCCTAACTTGGACGAAGCCAGACAGAGGTGTTGGGGTTGAGCACCGCTTTATCCTCTGCTCGCCTCTGTAGGATTAAGCTGCTGGCACAGCTTCTCTGAGGGCTACTGTAAATACCTTGCTGTTCATACCCAGGAGGAAATGTCCGCTTTGTCCTCCACCCTAAGAGATAGGGTGATACACAGCGCGGGAGAAACAACACTGCTAGAATCAAAGGGTCTGTCACACGTGAAGCGGTCTTGCAGGACATGGGTGCCTCCTTCCTCCCGTTTATTTTTTCTCTTCAGGTAATTTCTCTGAGTCAGACAATGAGGAGGAAGCAGGTCTGACAGGCAGCGGCAGGCTGGTGGCAAACGGAGACAAAGATGCCTCGGTCCTTGTGGTGGAGTCGGTCAGAAACAAGGAGCTTGTTGTTGTGAGGCCCAAAGTACAGCAGGAGAGCTTAAAGTCTCCTGGAGTATCAGCAAACAGTAAATCAGGGGTATTCCCAGCTTGTACAGAGCTTGACTCCTTTGGGGCGTGATGCATGCAGGCCTGTATGGCAAAGAAAGAAAGATCATTGACCCGGACGTGTGCTCTGAGTTGTGAGACAAAGGGCAGCAAGGTGTTCCTCGGGGTTCTTGCCTTGGGCGTGATTTACCGAGGGAAATCAGTATTGTGAGAAGCTCCTGGTGGTTCCCAAGACTGCTCGTTTCTCTGGCTCTTCCCCTGCTCCTCCTTCAGCTTGGAGCCAATATCATCTCCAAGTGCCACGTTCTATTAAAGCTGGCTGAAATTAAAGCTCCCAATGTCTCTATTAATAGACGCACAGCCTCAAAGCTGCAGCCGTTTGTGGCGAGCTGCCAGAAGCAGACAGCTGCCGGCGCTTGGCCCTGGGCAGGACTCGTTGGAAAGCTTCTACATAAAACCGTGCCTCTGTCACTCTCATTGGAGTCCTTTTTCTAGCTATGTGGCTTACGCTTTCACAGCAGTGCCCAGGACATGCACCGTGGGTGCCCTTAGGCTGTTTGCAGCCTCACTCCTGCTCCCAAACCCTTCCCAGGAGCAGCATCCCATGAGTATTGTTTTCTTTTTTGGCAGAACCCAGGAAGGAGACCAAAAGTCCCAAGTCCCAATGCTCCATCCGCCCAGATTCCTACCGGCATTTCGCCCCTCGCTTTAAGGCATCGGTGCTTCCCCAGGTGAGAGCTGGGCCAGGGCTGGTGGAAAACAGGCATTTTGGGGCTGGGCTCAGTGGAATTTCCAAATTGCTTCCATTTTGTTCTCCTTTGAAAGCAATATCTGAAACGTACCTTTGAGCCTGATGTTCGATTAAAAACTCCTGATATTAGTTCCCTTTTCTCCTCTACGTGCAGCTCTTTCCAGGCTGCGTAAAAAGTGAGTTGCGATAGACTCTTTATTCTGTTCAGCAAATCTGCGTGTACTTTTATTCCAAAGAAATGGAAATGGCATGTGCTATTGAAAGCGAAAAACGAGTGAGCAATGGAGTGATTCATTGTGCACCCGTATTTGCGAGCAGATGCGTTGGCAGAGCCGGCTGGGGAAGGCAATCCATCCAGTGTAGTGAAGACAGTCAAGGCACAGCTCTTTTTCTGTTAACAAACAGAGCAATAATAAAACAGAAACTTAACCTTTTCCTAAGCTCAGCTGTTCGTGGTGCTGAGAGAAAAGCTACGTTCACCTCAATTCTCTCCTCTGTCCCTCCACCTGGTAGCGTTTTTCCCCTCCCCACGCTGTCTTCCTATTGAAACATCTCCATCCCCAAGTCAGCAAAACCCACTGATCTCTTTCCCAGTGGGATAAGCAGCTGCTCACTGGCTCCGCAGTCATTCCCAGCCTGTTTTGTGCCTCATCTGAAAGCACCTGTGCCTGGTTCTGCTGGTGCAGTCTCTCTTTTGTATGTCTAAGTGGACACTTTGGTACTCATCCACTGACGTGTTGAACCTGAATTGTGCGTGTGTGGGCACGTTGCGTGTCTGTGAGGACGTGGGTGTGCTCACACGCACACTTGTTCTTACATGGGTGTGGAATGCACCTGACCAGACCATCCTAGAGCTTAATTTAAGCCAGTGTCTATTTTTCCTGCAGAGTTTCTTATCTCCTCCGGCTGGCAGTGAGGTCTTGAAACTGAAAGCTGTGATCGGCTATAATGGGAATGGCAGAGGGAATATGGTGTGGAACCCAGACACAGGTACAGTGGGAAGGCTGGAGGGATGCCCAGCAGCTTTGCTTTGCTCAGACTGGGGAAAGTGAGTTTTTACTGCAGGTCACAGCTCAGGTTACATCGGGTTGAGACCTGACAGGGAGGACGCTGACAAGCTGTGTAGAGGAGTCAGATTTTACGTGTTACTGAAGAACAGAATTTTCCTGAACTACGATGTTGGTTGTAGTGGGTGCTCTACGTGAAGTCTCAACGTGAAAATATCCGATCTCTTCCTCCTCTGCTAGGTTTCTTTGCCTACACCTGTGGCTGTGTCATCGTGGTTGAAGACCTGCACTCAGGTTCGCAGAATCACTGGCTTGGCCACGCAGAGGAGATCTCTACGCTCGCCATCAGCCACGATGCTCAGGTAGGAGAGGCTTCTGCTTCCCTGGGCTGGCTTTTGTCTGTCACTCTTCGTGACTGTCACTTTGGGCTAAAGGAACATCACAGACTAAAATCCCATTTGCCCATTCGTTCTTCTGCCTGCTGCATGGAGACCTGGGGTTATGGAAACACAGTAAATGGTTTTGGAGCCTAGCTATCCGTTGTGCTGGCTCAGTGTGACAGCGATGGCTGCTGCCTTCCTCTGAGTGATGCTGCCGTTCTCTCCTGCCGTCGGCTGATGGTTGTTCTCGCAGGAATTTCCATTTGCCAGCCACATCGCTTTGAGACAAATAGTTGCCAAGACAAACTAACTGATGAAGCGTTCTCTAATTACTTACCACGGTCTCAGCGACAGCATCTCATTCTCTTAGGTTCTTGCCTCTGCCTCGGGAAAGACGGATGGAGGCTCCTGTTGTCAGATCTGCATCTGGAACATCCAGGATGGGGTTTGCGCAGCGAGTCTCTTCCATCACGAGACGCAAGTACAAGCCATGGCGTTCTCTCGGGATGACAGGTTCCTTGCCACCCTAGGTGAGCACACCACACTGCAGGAGTACACCCTAGGGTAGACAACTTGTGAGAGGAGGATGCTGTAAGCGTGTCATACCTGCAAGATACGTAGCAGGCTCATGGGTATGAACCTGTTGCTTGGTAGCCTTGGGACAGTGGATAACACAGTACAGAGAACTGCAAGTCCTGGGAGAGACCAGCTGCAGAGGTAGTCTCTGCAGCTGAGCACAATTCCTCAGCGCTGTCAGCAGTGGAAGACACAAGCCCTGTGTATCTTGGTCACAGGCAGGAGCACCGGGCTCCCCGCAGCTCCCCTTCAGCTCATCCTCATTGGCCCAGCTAGCTCGTTTTTCTTGAAGTTACAGCTTTCTTCTCTTGGCTCACCGGTGCTTGTTAAGCCTGTGTAAATAGTTTGTGGTTACTATATATAGCATCCAAAGGGAAAAGCCTTCTTCTGGACTTCTTATTGCTGCTCAGGTGGAATTGCATAGAAGTAGCCAGGCTTCAAACTGCGAGCCTCCTGCCAGGCAGCGATGACAGCTCAAGCTGTCTGTTTTCTTTAGGCAGGGGACATTTAAAGGACAAATACGCAATTAGTAAGTTCTTGTTTTGCATGAGAGAGGACCTGTTTAGCAGGCAATGCACCCTCTCTGGGCTGGTGAGTCTACCCATAGGAAAAAGCAAGCTTTGCTGTAGAGAAAGAGAGCTCTGTGCTCTCCACGGAGCAGCGTGGGAGAGGAACCCCCTGCCTCCAGCTCCAGTCTGGGCTGCAGAGAAAAGCTGAGAGTCTCTGCTGGGCTTGTGGAGCCTGGGAAAGGCGAGAGGAGAGCACTGTCCTCCGGAGCTGTCTGGGAGCTGAGGGTGTTTGCTATCGCCTTCTGCTGCCGCCCAGATCGCGTGGCTTCCGTGAAGGTCAGCTCCCATCTCAGCTTTGCCCTCAGCAGAGGTGATATCCCTTTCTTATTTCAAGACTGTTGTTAGTCTGGAATTCACAGCATTGCCGGAGGGCTTGCATGGGGCATATGTTGAGGTGTGCAGAGGATATCGAAACAACCAAAAACCTTCTCTGCCTGCTGAAATCCCTACCATTAGCTGGTCCGAGTGCTGGCTGTGGACACTGCTGCAAGGCCAATTTTGCTACAACCTTCAGCACAAAGCGTCAGGCCAGTGGTTATATCTGTCCTCAGCTGGGATGAGGACCCATGCAGCTTTTGCCTTGAGCATGCAAGGAGCCATGTCCGTGCCTGGAACAGTGTTCACAGCAGTTCCCTCCGAACAACTAGGCAAAGGAGCGACACGGTTGATGCGTGCGTGCAGAACTTCCTGAGACTTCAGAATTTCCTCCCACTGTCTCTCGTGTTCTACCCAGGGGACTACAGCGATCAAACCTTTGTTCTGTGGAATACCTACACTTATGAACTCATGTTGTCCACTTGCATCTCGGAGCCAGTCCACGACGTGGCTTTTAGTCCTTTTTCTCACAGAGAACTGGCCTGCGTGGGGAAGGGAGCTGTGATGTTTTGGCTGTTGGAGCAGCAGGGAGCCAAAGTCAACCTTAAGGTAAATCTCAGTTTTAAAACTTCTGTTTGGCATCTCTGATGTCTTTTCCAAGCCCCTGGGGAGTGCATTGAAGGCTCTGCCCCCATGAGTCTGACGATTTCTCTTAGTGAGATGATGTTGGCTGGCTGTGAGTGGTTTTCAGTTGTATTTGAGGGTTTAGCTGCATGAATTTAGGGGAGGGGGGAGATTGGGGTTTTTTTCCAATGTATGTAAACACCTTGTTCTATTTAATGTTTCTATTTTATGTGCTCCGGCAGGTTCATCAGGCCCGTGCCCCAGATGTGTTAGGGCCAGTGGAGCTGACCTCTCTCTGTTATGGTGATGATCCTCTTCTTTATAGTGGGACCAACTCAGGCCAGATTTGCGTGTGGGACACCGAGGCTAATTCCTGCTTCATGTCGTGGGAGGCTGACGAGGGTGAAATCGGTGGGTGCAGATGCCCGGGACACATGTCAGGGCTGGATCAGGGAACTCGTTAGGAAAGACGAGCAGTGAGCTTACAGACCTCTGATTTCAGCTGTGCTCAGAAAACCAGTTTGCTGTGTTGGATGCAAGATGTGTGGGGTGGCGGTGGATCTGTGACCTGGGTTTTCTTGGGGTCTTGGGTTCCTGCGAGGGCATTAGTCTGTAAAAAGGCTGGGGTATTGGGCTGTAGAAGACCCCCCAACTGCCCTGCCTGAACGAATTGGTGGCCTGGCCATCAGGAGCACGCCTTGGGTGATGGCTGATGGCGGTGGATATTCATGGGTGCCCTTCGTTCCCCCGTGGCCTCCCAGGTGTGTTGGTGTGTCGGCGCAACCGGCTGCTGAGTGGCAGCAACATGAATCGCATCCGCCTGTGGGCAGTGGCCGCTGTGCAGGAGCTGAGGCTGAAAAGTCCCGATGCCAGGTAGGAGGAGGTGGTGGCCCCAGCGTATCCCCTCTGTGCTTGCACCCATCTCACCATGCTCCTGAGATGCTCTTCCCCTCATCTGGCAGCTCCTAGGACCTGTCTCGAAAGGTGACTTTTCGTGGACAAACATCAACTCTGCCTGCAACCATGCTGCTCCTGTTGCTCTTCATCCTTAGCTTTTTCTCTCCATCCTGTGACTGCTGATTCTTTCTGTCTGGATCTTTTTACTGAATTTTTGCCACAGGTAGCTGAACCCTCGTAATGTGGAAATGGGTGGTGTTGATCATGCCTGCTGTTTGTAGCAGTGATTTGTAGGAAGCCCTTTAAGAGAATTAGTGAAAATACATCGCCTTTGTTTCTTCTCTCATGCTATTGCATCCCCTTATTTTCTTTCTTTCCTATAAAAGATTGTTGTAGCATAAGTGCAATGGTAGTCATTGTTCACTGTACAGGAGCTCCTCATTGAACTGTTCAGCTGCAAATACATGACTGGGCTCAGTAGAAAGTGGATTTAAAGCTGTCTGTTCCAACAGTTGAGCTAGTCCTTTGCGCACCCTCCTTTCCTCCAGGTCTAGCTCAGTCCTGCTAGAGCACGAGATCACCCTCGATGGGACAATCGTCAGCGCAGCCTTTGATGACTCCCTAGAGATGGGAATTGTGGGCACCACAGCAGGAACACTGTGGTACATCAACTGGACGGAGAGCACAAGCATCCGACTCATCAGCGGCCACATGAACAAGGTTAGAGGAGCTGGGACGGGGCGGTTGTCCCGCGGAGAGGCAAGTGCTCTGCGTGCTCTTCCCTGCTCTGGACATGGGAGAGGTCAGAGAGCTTCAGGGCTGGTTAGCGCTGATGGAGGAGCCTAGGCTAGAGAAATGTGCGGAGTCCAGCATCAAAAAGTCTGTGCTCATCCACTCTAGCCTTACCTGTTTCACAGCTTCAGCCTGTGAACAGCTGTAAGTCTTTCTGCTGGAGCAAGATAAAGCAGTTTGCAGGCTCTAAGGTTTCATTCCTGAGCGCTGCAACTTCTGCCTGCCCTCCGTTTGCTAGCTGGACATCTGTATTGGATAACTTTTTGGCCTAAAACATAAAAACCCAACCCAGGTGAAAAATGGCTGTTTTGAATTTTGCTGTTGCTTTGAAATATCTTTATGCTACAGAAAAAAAAGGAAAAAATGGCAGAAGAGAATGTATTTTACATAGACTTACATTGCATAGTGCCTGGTCCTACCTTTGGGATTAGGTTTACTGATTTCCTTTATAAGCCTAGTTATTGACTCAAAATTTAAGCACAAAACCAAAGCACCCCACCTTCCTTTATGTTTAGGACTTCCTGCCCGATGTCTCCTGCAAAGAGGGGTCCCAGGATATGAGAAGGGCAAAGAACTGACATGCTCTGGGCTGTGGCATGTGTTGATCCCCCGTTCCCTGTTTCGTTTCTCCCTGCAGGTGACCGAAGTGTGCTTCAGTCCTGATGAGACTCACTGTGCAACATGTGGCGAAGATGGCAGCGTGAGGATTTGGTCTCTTGGCAGCACAGAGCTGGTGGTACAGTTCCAGGTGCTCAACCAGGTGACTGGTTATTTGTGCTATGTCAGTCTCTTCCTCTTGGCAGAGAGCACAGTCCACTGTTTGGGATTGGAAGGAACAGACCAAAGCTGGAGAAATACTTGGAAGTGGAGATTTCACTGCACTTGCTGGAACAATCCTGCTTGTCTTCACTGTCTCATTGGGTCTCCACCTTGGTTGCTTTGCAGAGCTGCCAGGCACTGGCCTGGAAGCCTCATCCTGTCGTTGCATGGGGAGCCGAGAGCCAGCACGTAGTGGCAGGGTACAGCGATGGCACCATCCGTGTTTTCAGCATTTCCAGGACAGAGATGGAACTCAAAATGCACCCCCACACTGTTGCACTGACGGCAATCACCTACTCCACAGATGGTGAGGCTACCTCTTGTAGCAGTGGCAACGTAGACTCGGGAGCATGGCTTGGTTGTGCCTGGGTTAACCTGATCTCCAGTTCCTCTGCGTGCTGGCGACCTGGCCAAAAAACTGGGTCTAGGGAGCCCCAGAGAACTCGTATTGATAAGCTTTGGTAGCTCTGCCAGCTGAGCACGTGGTAATCAGGACACGAGAGGTGTATTGGTGATGGTATAGCAAAGGGGTTTGAGTACACAAAGCATTCCATCGTGTCCTCCTGCTTACAATCTGCAGGGATTTTCTTCAGCGTGGAGTTTTACTGGGGGTCTTTGAGACACCTCAGCTTACCCAGCCCTTGACTCAGATGCTCTCAGCCTTTCACAGTGTTTTGGGACACTGGTGTCCCACGATCTTGGACTTTTTTCCTATGGACTTCTCCTATAACAAGTGTTCCATTCTTTTCTTTCTTTCTGCCCACAGGAGAAGTGATCTTATCGGGGAGCAAGGATGGGCTCGTGGCCATCAGCAGCCCTCGCACTGGAATGACTATCCATGTCCTTGATGACCACAAAGGCTCCCCCATCACTGTCCTCCAGTGCACCAGGAAGCAGGTGAGACCTCGCCTTCTGCCTCGGCGCTGTGCGAGAGCGAGTTCCCCCATGTGCCATGGCACAGCGGTGGGAAGCAGTGTGGCCTGTGTCAGTCAGTGGGTTTGCTTCATTTTCCCTCACTTTTCCTAGCTGGGCCTCCTGCGTGGGGCTGGCTTTTTGTAGGGTTCCTCTGTGGAGCCAGGAAGAATTGGTTGCGCAGCAATGTGATGGTTTTAGTATCTCCTTTATCCTTCTCTTCATGGAGAGTCTTTTTCCTTTGTGCAGTGGAAATGAGAATACTCCTCAGTTTTAGGGGAAAGACGTTCCTAGGAGACACACAGTATCAGCAAGCTCTCCCCTAGGAGATGTGCAGATCGGAGGGCATCCCGGGAAGGAGATCTGTGTCACTCATGCCAAGGACTCACCTCTTCTCCAGCAGCCTCTTCTGCCAGGGCTTTCAACCCAGAGTGTGCCGCCGGTTCTGATACCATGTCTTCCTTGTCCTATTTTATTGTGCTGAGTGATTTTAAGTACTGCCCAAATGGAGTTGTTAATCCTGGCGCTAAGCCCCTACAGCGTAAGGCCTGTGTTCCCACCAGCTCCTGCCCCACGCCAGCTCTAGCTGGCTGCTTTCTCTAAACCTCCTGTACTGCTGGAGTCACCGCAGCGTGTTTGTCTTCCTTAGTACCACGACTTCGGGGTGCCAGGAGGCGAGCTCTGGCTGGCCACCAGCTCGGACCGGCGGGTCAGCGTCTGGGCTTCCGACTGGCTGAAGGATAAGTGTGAGCTGCTCGACTGGCTCAGCTTCCCGGCTCCTGCTGGCCCCGAGGTGAGCGATCCCTGCCTGCTTGGGGCAGGGGTCTCAGCACCAGCTGAGCTGGAGCAGGGTTATCTCAAGGCTCAGAGTGGGATGAGGACAAAGAGAGAGTGTGTGGGTAGGGAGGTCATTTTTGTTGGTTCTACTGCTCATAGGTGTCGAGGTTTCGAGCTGAGCTGGCCACTAAACACTCTCTAACCCCTCTACCTCCCCAGACGGGAAGGGAAAGGGAATAAGGCTGGGAGACTTGTGGGTTGGAAAAGAAAACTAAACCAGCTTTAATAAACAGTAATAGGACTAATAAGGAAATAATGAAAATAAGGAAATGTGTACAAATATATACAAACCTGATGTCAAACCCAACAACCCCCAGATCGCAATCCTCACTGCAGAGCAGGTGGCACCGGGGCAGCCCCAGGCTCAGCAACAGAGGGGAACCAGGAACAGGGGCTGGATTCAGGAACTCAGGGTCGAGGTTAAATGCCACAGGTTGGACAGAGTGCTCCTGGGATGCCGGCCATTAGAGCAAGAGGGCTTAACGTCCATGATCCCTCAGCTTTATCCTGAGTATGACATACATGGAATGAAATACTCTCGTTGGTCACCTGTCCTGTCCATTCCTCCCTGGAGATGCAACCTTTTACCTCATTGTGATCCCTTTTACTTCCCAGCACCCCCAAGGTGGCACACAGGATCCAGCAGTAACCTTGGTCACTACAGGAGCAAGTGTAAGCAAGAGCTTTTCTGCATCCCCATCCCTGGTACAAACCATAAACATTAGGTGTTATCACTGCTGGCAGTAGACACTATCTGCAAAAACACAGTTATCTTCAGGAAGTGCAGCCTCTTAGAGGAGACTGAGCTGAAAAATAAAACCAGTGAACAGAACTGGTTCTGTTTTAGCTCAAATCAGGACAGTAGAGTATCTTGTAAATGCACCTTCATGCATGTTGAAAGGCAGGGGGAATTGTAGCAGCACCTAACTGCCGGGAAACACTGACTCTGTAAGCGTGAGGAGTCAAAAACTGTGTCTGCAAAGAGCTGACACCCCTGTGCTATGCAAAACAGAGCACAGGCAGCAGTGAGCACAGAAGAGAACTAATTATGAGCGTGCTGCTTGCTTTGGCGCTCCCAAAGAACATGAATATTCAGAGCCTGGAGCCCAGTGGCAGGTTCCTAAAAGCAAATACTCCAGCCCTGTGTGTCTGTGATGCTTTGAAGAAGCCTTTGGTTCCCACCCAGGAGTGGGATTGGGGAGCAGGACACCTGCTAGAAAGGGAGAAGGGTCTGCATTGGAGAGATGGGCCCCGGTGTACATGATGTGGGCACGCAGAAGGGAGCTGAGTCTTTTCGGAGGGCAAGCAGCAGTGCTCCAGCCTGTCACCTCCAGGGCCAGGCACCACCTGGGCCCATACAGCAGTTGGGTTCTGTCAGTGGTTCTTCTGATTGTTTCCAAACTGACAGATTTCCTCTTCTTGAAGAAAAACTCACTACAGGTCTCCCCATGGTGAACAGGGGAAGGATGGATCTTGCATCCCCAACTAAAGACCTGTCTTCTGGGTGCTATTTTCCTATGTTAAACCAATCCATGACCCAATCCCACTCTCAAGCCCACACAGTAATAATGCCCTGGTGGAAATTCAACCCGTTAGACCCTCATGTGTCCTGCTCCTGTGACAGTGAACAACTTGCTTCAGGTTTCCATGGCAGTGTGTGGTTGCTCCTTGCTTTGCTGTGACACATCTGCAATAGCAATGCGAGAAAGAGGGAACAGCCTCCACCGTACTCTTTTCCTGCTGCTTGGCCACCTGCAATCCAAGGGCTGGTGTCCCTCTGCGCTCTCTTTTTGTCCCCCCCTGCCCTGGGTTGGTCTGGAGAAGCTAACCTCAGTTTTATCCCCTTTGGTTTCCCTCACCAGGGTCTCCACAGCCTCCCGCCCAGCCTGGCCGCCTTCTGCCCTTGGGAACCAGGGACCCTGGTCTACGTTGGCTTTGGGATGCAGAAAGAAGCCTTGTTTTACAGTCTGCGTGAGAAACGGGTACCTATGTCCTGCCAGGGCGGCACTGGCCCTCCTCTGCAGGGCTGTGGCCATGTCCAACGGGGGGAGGAGGGGAAAAGCAGCACTTGCCTGCACCTAAAGCCAAGTCTGAAGGGGTGGGGTGGGCTCAGGCAACAGCTTATCCTCTCAGAAACTCCCAGTTCCAGCCCAGGTGAGAGGCAGGACCCTGCCCCTGCCTCGGGCTGAGTCTGGGCAGGCTGCCAGTCCCTGCTACCACCCTGCTGCTTTTTTTTCCTGACTAGAGGGAAAGGCATTTGCTTTCAGGAGCACTTAACAGTCTCTAAATCATTGAGTCTCTGGAAAGTCAATGCGTTTGGCAGGTTTCTGAGCTCTGCGAGGTGCTGTGCATCTGTCAGCCTCCCCTAATGACTGTCACCGCAGTAGCTCCCATCTCCTGCCTTCTCATTTTTGAGGTGTCGGTGTATTTCTCTTGCTGGAGCGCAGGTAGTTGAGAAGATCCCCTTGCCGTACTTTGCCACCTCGCTCAGCCTGTCTCCTGCGGCATGCTTCATGGCTATCGGCTTCGGTGGTGAGTACCAGAAACTGCCTTGTTGCCCATGTTACCTTTAGTGGGGAGGGATGTGCCCTTCATTCTGCTAGTTGGAGAGAACCAAGTCTCCTTTTACCTTTCATCGAGAGGGATGCGCACACACAGCACCCTGAATCCTCACAGCCTGGGACTGCGGGCGGGATATGTGTTGGGCGAGGAGAAAGCTCTGAGAGACTCATAGGCCAGAAATGAGATGCGTAAGCTCAGTCCTGTTTGTCAGTGAGCAGGATTTGTCACTCGAATGACTTCTTGGGGTTATGGGCTGTCTTTATCTCTCTGGCTGTGCGACCTACAGCCCAGGAAGCAGCGCAGGGACGATCAGCATCTCCTGCCAAGGGCACCTTCCTCCTGTAGCTGTTTGTATCTGCCTGGGGAGGCAGCACTTAACATCCATCCCACTCTGACAGCAGCTCCTGAAAGCAGAGCAAGCTCCACACCTGCCCTGGAGCTGTGGGGCACTGGGGTGGGTGCTTCGGGGTGGGTGCGAGACAGCAG